TGCGTCACTGCCGCTCACGTCCTCCTCTTGTGCCCCAGTGCCGACACTGCTCCCTCCCCACCAGACACCACTCTCTGACCCTACCTCTTTTTGACTGTCCCTTACTTTCTTAGGAGGAGCCTTGGTGTAGTGGTTCTGCATCGGGCTGCTCACTGCAAAGCCAGCAGTTCTAAACCACCAGCTGCTCCAAGGGAGAAAGACGTGGCTTTCTACTCCTGTCAACAGTTAGTCTCAGACACCCACAGGCGCAGGCCGACCCTGCCCTACAGGGGCACTGTGAGTCAGAAAGGACCCAATGGCAGTTGGTTTGGCTTTTTGGGTTTCCCTCCTGAATGTCCCCCCTTCTCTGCAGCCTGAGGACCAAGCGTTATAGGAGGGGACTTCAAAAAGTTCATGGAAAAATGCGATGAAAAGATCATTGTATTTACTCTTTAATACTCCCAGGCCCTCAAAATCTCCCCCTGCCCTCTCCTGTCTTCTCACGCCTGCTTGGCAAAACCACCACGCTGGGGAAGGCGAGCCTGCCACTCTGGGCAGGTGGAGGTGGGTAGAGGGGCCACATGCCCCCACTGATGGCCTGCCTTCCACATGGTGACCGTCAGCCTGAGTGGGTCCAAGAGGCTGCCCAAGCCCCAGCCTTGAGCTCTCTCTCCTCTAGACACTGAAACCCGCTCTCCTCTGTCCTCAAGCCTCTGCCACCCCCTTGCCGGCCACCCCCTCTGCAGACCAAACAGGGTGTCCCAAGGAAAACTGCCGCTGCCCTGTGTCCCCCACCTGCCAACGTCTTGCCCATGGCTCCACTGCCCCCTTGTGGTCCACAGCTGGACCCTACTCAGCTACCCAAGGACAGCACCCAGGGGCACCACTGGGTGTCCTTAGCAGAACGGGACCCTGCTGCAGTAGTCCTATCCCTTTGCCAGAAACCCCACCCCACCCCCAGCACCCGGTCATCAACACGCACTCCCCACCCCCACCTTACAGAGCCGCTCCCACCAGCACATGCCACCACCACAAGCCACCACCACAGCCAGTCCTCAAGCCGGTCTCCACGCCCAGTGACCATGGCTGTCAGATGAGAACGGGGCTCCACGGGGCTCTCAGTGGCTGGTGTTAGGAAGTAACTGCCAGGCCTTTCTTCCAAGGTGCCTCTGGGTGGACTTGAAACGCTAACCTTTCAGTTAGCAGCTAGCATGTGGACTGTTTGCACCACCCAAGGACATCCATCAGCACATCAGGTGCTGATTTCTCCCATCAAGAAAATACACACACAACAACCTCCTGTTGGCCCTCCAGGTCCCTACACCTTGGGTCTCATTAGGCCCAAATGGCAATTCCTCTCCCTCCGTACATCCTACTCCCCTCCCCTCCTGGGAGCCTCCCTGAGCGGAGCCCCACAGGCAGGTCACAGAGCTGGTCTGTGAGACGTCAGTAGACCTGGGCACAGGTGGCCATACTGTCCTCCTGTGAACTTGGCTTCCCCTCTCCTCCCTGCCAGGGATGCCCCCTCCTCCCTGACACTCACATGTCTAGTGCTGCCTTTTAATGCATGTCTCAGCATTCATGGGCCAAAGGGAGCTCTCCCATCTCAGGGTCCCCCCTGCAGCTCCCTACAGTGGGAACGCTGACTCCCTGGCTCACACCCTAGTCAAGCCACCAGCTGATTCCATCAAATCTACTTACCAACCCAGCAACCTCCACCCATTCTGACCTCGAAGTGCCCCTCCAGGACAGAGCAGAACTGCCCCGCGGGCTTCTCTCTGGACGTTGGCTGTCACATCTTTCTCTGGGGGGTTGAACCACGGTCCTCATTTTCCCCTCCCTTCCCGCTCCCC